GGGACGGAAAACATGGAATTTTGCAATAATCTTGCGCCACCCTTGCACAAAACGACGATAGTTTTTCTAATTTCATAGACAACGGAAGACTATATTTTTTCCACATAACCCCCCCCCCCNCCCTGACTTTAAAGCTGGATCCGCCCCTGCCGGTGTTACAGGGGGCGGTTGAAAAATAGGGCCGCATCAAAAGTGACAAAAATGTTTCTCTCGCAGAATTCGAGACTAGCGTGAAAACGTTCCGGACTAATCCAGTGACGAGGGAAAAAGAGCCGTATCTTCCCACGTCCCAAAAGGTGTTCCGAATGGTCATTACGGGCAGCGCCGTGTTTTTCATGGTAGGCTCCGCCGGCTGTTCAAAGTTTCAGTGGAAAAACTCCGTATTGTTTCCCCAGCTTTTTGTGGTTCTGGCCGCCGTTCTCGGCACCATCATCTATCGGCTCTCCTTGGTGACGATCATCTATGGAAGCCAGAACCTGTTCCTGAAGAATCACGCGAAGATCGTCACCTCAGTAACGGCCGCCCTCATCAACTTGATCTTCATCATGAGCCTGACGCGGGTAGGTGCCTGCAGGCGACGACTAAACCCAGTCGGTTAGGAAAATCGCTTTTCCAGGGCTACCATCGGCTGGCCATCTATTTAACCAACCTGGAAAGCCCGAGAACGACCACAGAGTTCGAGGACTCCTACACGTTCAAAATATTCCTGTTCGAGTTTATGAATTTCTACTCTTCTTTGATCTACATCGCGTTCTTCAAGGTACCCACCCAGGAGCCCGCTGAAGATCAGCTGAAGCATCCTGATTTTCAGGGCCGGTTCTTCGATTATCCGGGCGACACCATCAGTAGAAAGTCGGAATTCTTCCGCGTCAAAGGCGACATTTGCGATCCAGCCGGCTGTTTGAGCGAGCTGTGCATCCAGCTGGCCATCATCATGATCGGCAAGCAGATGCTGAATAATTTCGTGGAAATCTTCAATCCGTACGCCTGCACCATTTGGCTAAAGCTTCTCAGTAATTTCCAGTTTTTCTCAGTAAGTTCTACAACTGGTGGCGGTATCGGTCGCACCGCTCCAACACCAAGGACTTGAGCAGGAAGCACACCAGGTGGGAGGAGGACTACCATCTGCAGGATCCAGGGCGGCTGGCCCTCTTCGACGAATACCTCGAAATGAGTGAGTAAACCTTCCAGTTCACCCTCAAATCGCTACAGGCGCTGTTTTTGGGGCAGTTTTACAATACGGGTTCGTGACGCTGTTCGTGGCGGCCTTCCCTTTGGCCCCACTATGCGCGCTCATCAACAATGTGGCGGAAATTCGGCTGGACGCCTACAAGATGGTGACGCAAGCCAGGAGGCCTCTGGCCGAACGCGTTGAGGACATTGGGGCCTGGTATGGGATCCTCAAAGCCATCACCTACGCAGCTGTGGTTTCAAATGTGCGTAAATTTAGGGAAAACAAACTGAAAAAAGTTTTTGGCATTAAATCCGAGTTTGCAGGCCTTTGTGATTGCCTACACCAGCGATTTCATCCCCCGGATGGTCTACAAGTACAAGTACTCGGCGGCAGAGGACTTGGTGGGCTACATCGACTCATCCCTATCAGGTACCCTAAGGGCGGGTTTGTCCCAAAAGGGTTGCTCAATGGGGTTCTGGGGGTTTCAGTGTTCAATACGTCGGACTATCACGAGAATATGGGCCCGGATGATAAAGCGCAAACGCCCGATGTGTGCCAGTACAGAGGTGAGGCGATTAAAATTTTGATTGGAATTGTGGTTGTAATTACAATCCCTTCCGAGAAAGTTACGACGGGCATTACTGACATTTTGTTGCCTAAAATGGAAAACGTCTACCACTGGCTCCAGAGAACTAACATTGACGAATTTCCTGACGTTTCGTCCACAACTGCGCTGGACATTTTCAAAGGCGATGAGGCAGTGGGCGAAGTGATCTCCCGTGCTTTCCGACTAAGACGGAACTGTCTTACGTCACGAACGTCAGACAGTTCCGTCTTAGTATATTTCGTAACACGTTAGAGTTACACTACAGGGTGTTGATTTATGGGGGTTGCAGGGTACAGGAACGGCCCCAACGAGTCGGATCCCTACGGGCTCAGTCCGCAGTATTGGCACGTGTTTGCCGCCCGGCTGGCTTTTGTGGTCATTTTCGAGGTAAGCCATCCACCCATCAATCAAACATCTAAGCATAGACAAAACTTTTGCCGCTGGGATTGTAGCATGTGGTGTTTGCTCTGGTTGGCATCATGCAGTATGTGATTCCAGACGTGCCCAGTGAGGTAAGTCGCGGGGTTTTCCTTCGCCAAACTCTTAACAGCGGGTTTTCTTAGCTAAATACCCAAATCCAACGGGAAACGCTGCTGGCGAAGGAAGCCAAGTACGAGCATGGACTGAGGAAAACTGAATACGATTATGATGATGTGCTCAACACGATCAGGGAAAACGACAGCAGGAACAACGACTCGAAAATCGGTAAGTCCACTCGGCCTAGGTTGAACAGTGGCGTAGCCTGGAGATGAGACGAACTTATCTTATCGGCCACCCCCGGTAGCTATGGGAAATCCGAATGTTCATCTCCCTGTCACCGGCGCAGTGTTGTCACTGTGCCCCACTGGTAGCAGACTGGCATTTGCTTCTAGCCAACAGGTTTTGACGCTGTCGACCAACAGACTCAGTCAAYTTCAACAGTTTGGCTAGGAATACAATTGCCAGGCTTGGCCCGACTGAATCAGTCTTTGSCAAAATTSAACAGAGTTTCGGCAGTTTGAACTTGCTGGGATGAATGCGTGGCTTTTTGGTCCAACGGCGCGGCAACACTGCGCCGGCAGTCGGCGTTGACGTTACGCGCGTAACTGACGTTTATCGGAGAAACATTTTCAAAAAATTGCAAAAAGTGGTGAAAATAAACGGGCCGAACGTGCTGTGCGCCACCAAAGACGCCCTTAAGCAGCCACGGGGTGAGTTCGACAAAAAAACCCTTCTGTAATTACTTTTTGTTGATGTTCTATTCTGGAGACAATTCAGCGACTTTCTTGCCCAAAATTCCCAGGCGTTGCCCCCTAAATCTCAAAATTAGCCCCACATCAGACTGACCATAGTCATTTAAGCGGGACATAATAGTTTTTTTTTAGTATTAGCTTTAGTGACTAATCCCCCCTCTGGTTACGCCACTGGTCATATTTTCGTCCTGAATTTCGCCTGATTGCGGTGATTTTGATTAGGAATTCGTGGCTCTTGGGCGCGACGACTGAGTAGACTGTCCGACGGGTTGGACGCCCATGTTGAGGTGGTGAGCCGCAAGAAAAACTCCATCACCCAATCGACCGTATGGGAATACTCGTAATGTTAAGCCTCAAGTATTAGCTGTTAATCGATTTCCTTTGTGCCATTCAAGCATGTTGATGACGATCTATCTACATTAGTCCGGCTCTGCGCAATGGCCAGATCATTGGCTGTCCGCGCATGTAACAGACAGTGATAGAGCGATGCGTTTGACGTTTTCGACAATGGTCTGGCCAATGCGCGTCTTCGACGTTTGTTCATGCAATAGAGATGTTTACAACTTTGACGTTTTTGTTTCGCCAACCACGCCCTAGATTAGATGATTTTGGTTGAGTGTAGAATCCAGTGAGGTTTAGTTGAAAACAAACGACATCAGTCGGATCGCGTAAGTTTTATAAGAGTTTAGCGGCACAAATTGAGATTGTTTGATCGTAGTGTTGCACACAAAACGCACTTAATACTTGCCGATATAAACAGCACAGTAGATTTGTTTAGTTAGATTTTTCGGCAAAAAGTTGACAAACATTTCTTTTTCTAGAGTGAATCACCCCTGCGATGCAAACGTCCCTTCCAGCTGAAAGGTAAGAGACTAATTTTCCATCATTCTTTAAATATTGCCCTGTTGTCTGCGTGACCCTGACAGGGGCGGATCCAGCTTTAAAGTCAAGGGGG